AAAAGATAATACACCGTCCATTAAATCGATTGTTGTAAATTCTAAACAAACGTTGGTAGGTGTAAAATCCAACTCCAGTAAAGCCTATTAAAGAATATGAAAAGTTGTTTCCATGGATGAATAGGAAGTTACTTACGAATACAGTCTTAAATGCATCCATAATGCTGGCATATATGAAGGAAATGTCAAAGGTATTTAAAATCTTCTATATTTTGGTGCATTCATTCAAAACTTTAAAGCAATGCTGCGATTAAAAAGTGGAACAGATTTGGAAGCATACCCTAAATTACGCGCGTTTGTGAAAGCTTCAACCAAAGGATAGGTACAAAAGCCAAAGAAATGTTCTGCATTTACAGAAAGCGACCTAGAGGATTTTTTATTTCATCCAGATGACAGTTTCAAAAGTCATACTTGAAGTATCGTTACTTAGCAACTTTAAAGCACGTGTGTTTTAAAGGCCCTTTTTCGCACGCATTTGAGTGTTTAAAACGGAGATTGTGATTCAGGTATAATAAAAAATGTTTTTAAAGAAGCTTTTTATAGTAAATAAAATTATAAAAAAATGTGATACTAATCTATGTACTTAAAATTTGTGATCTGTGGTGTGCTTCTACATAATCAAAGGGGACATATTTTTTTTAAATAACAACTATTAGTTTTTTTTTTGATAGAGCAGCATAACAAACTTATTATACTACATAATCAAATTTATTTATTTATATTCATCATGGTTAATGTCATATTTAAAACATGTTCATTTTTTAGTTATACCCTCTTAGTTCTGTTTACGCCTCGATACAGACACGCCACTATAAATATTTTTTGTGTATTTTCTTAAATTTTAATTTTAATTAAATCTTGGATACAATAAATTGCTTTCACATAACTAATAAAATAATATCTTTTTTTTTGTTAACGCAAACTAGTGAAATTATTGATTTAATTAACGTGATAACCGTTTTCTTTAATTTGAGTTTTTCTCCTAAATTTGATTATGTGATATCATAAGTTTTTTTTGCAGCTGTATCCCAAAAAGTACTATTTAAGACTATTTAAGTAAAACTAGTGGTTACCATAAAAAATAAGCCCCCCTTGATCATGCAGAAGTACGCCACTGACCACAAATATCAACTACGTAGATTGGTTGCAATTTTTTTATAATTTAAGATACCATAAAAAGCTTCTTTAAAGAAATTTTGCTCTGAAGGTGTTCCAAATACAATTGCTACCCTGTATATATTATCAAAACAAAGTGAATTTAATTGAATATTTGGAGAATGGGAAAAAAGTGTAACGATCCGCCGACCGCATTCACGGCGCAATTCGTAGTCTACTCATGGAAGCGCTGATCATTTTTTCAAGGGTGGGCCAAGAGGGGGCCAAGCAACAGGGCAGGGCTCACCCGCCTGGCGGCGCCACCGATGCGCTAAAAGCCATGCTTACGTAGACCATTGGCTATTTCACGTTTCTGTAATTGTTATTTACAATTTTTCGAATTAAAGATTATTATTATTATTATTATTATTATAAAATTCATTCAGTGTAAATGACTATTTTTGCTTTATTTACAAACAGAACCATCACAATAGAATAATTTACAGAGATTTAATAAATTACTTTGACTGACGTTTACCAGCCATGATGACCATGGGCAACTCCTACATGGGCGACTGGAGCGGCGTGAAAAACTGGTGCGGCGTGGACAACTGGAGCTGCATGAACGACGTGAGCCGCTGGTGCAGCGTGGACAACATGGGCAGCGGGAGCGGCGTGGGCTACGGCCACGGGGTGAACCGAAACAGAGTTGTGGTTAGCGTAGGAGGTGGCGTGATGGGCGACTGGGGCCGCAACGGCAATATGAGCAGGGGCGGCGGCGATGTAACCTCCGTGACCGATCACACCGGCGTTAACGGCGACGAAGAGGGCCAAGAAAGCAATCTGCAAACGTTATCTCAATTACCTACCCCTAAACCCGACCACTACAACTTACCAATTTGAACATTTTTGCTGGGTTTGTTACACTGCTTGTTGAACAGAATTGTGTATGCTGGTGGTAAGAAACGCTCACGTTTTTATACCACACTTTTTCCCCACTGAATTTAGATCAAACGCCCTTTCTATTTACATCGTAAATTATACGATTAACAAAAGTGGTAATGAAATTCACGACATTATTTTTCAATGACAGTAGCTCGCGGTCGCTAATTTTTGCGTCATTAGTCGAGAAGATAACGAAGAATATGTAAATACGGTTTACCCAATCTTCAGTTGTCCGTTTTAGGGGACATTTAAACATTGAGAATCAATTTAATTGCAATTAAATAAAAAACTAATTCGGATTGAGGTTAAGGTTTTTACTAATGTTCTGTATCTGCACCGATCTTTGTTATTTATTGTGCAAATCTAAAAGCTCCATTACCCATAGTGTGATCTACGAGTATTGAAAAAAAGTGAGTGATGGAAGAAATGAAGAAAAACATTCTTTTCCAATAAATCAAATTACGGTCATTTGATTTATTGGAAAATTTTCTTCATTTCTTCCATCACTCGCTCAGCTTAATTTTGGAACTATACCCACAAAGGACCCAAAGGTTGCGTTTATCTTTAATTTCTTTCTAAACCTTACATGCATGTATTGGGGATGGAGTTATTGTTATTTATTATACAAGACGATAAAAGGATATTTGAAGCATTGAGAGAAAGATACTTTCACGAGATGGTTAGTTTCCATTTATCGTCGTGTATACTTTATTTTATAGCAGAAGCCATATAACTCATTGTAAAGCTTCCGACAATTCTGATTTAATTTAGAGGCATCGAAAATAGCAGGCTTAGGTTCTGCCATCGCGATCGTTGCTATAGAAACAGAATTGTCATATGTTCTTGACGTCATCGTGTATTTGCAATAAGAATGACAGAATGCACACTCATCTGTTTCACTTTATCTACCCTTACGGTTAAAGTGATCACTTTATCTATCCTTACGGTTAAAGAACGATTTAGCCTACTCATAGTGTCATTTTAACATACAATAAAATAAAAAATTTTAAATTTCAATTTTGTAAAGTCTTCTTCCAAAACTATTGTGGCACGAGGGACTCTCTCAATGCCCGAAACACATTTAACACTGATTTTACACTGGACCTCCCGGCTGTGTAGCCCAATTTTCTACCACTGAGCCACACGGACAAACAACACGGGGGAGTGAGGTTCATACCGAACCACACTCACTAAATACAATAAGGCAAAAAGAAAGGTACAACATGAAATCTTTACAAAAAGGGGTAGAATCGGTCACTTGAAGGAAATTGAGGGGGGTTATACAGAGAGCGCAAAGGAGCCCTTGAAGCTTTTGCTTCAATCACACTTTTCGGGATCAAAGACTCTCTCGCAAAATGACGCGGGCGAACGAATTACTCTCAACAGGTGGAACAGAGGAGATTGGGTTTTGACTCGACAGATAGTTAGGTGGGCAGTTAAGACTTTCCATTCGCATAAATCCCCAGGAATGGATGGATTCTTCCTACTCTACCATAATAAGGCCGCGACCTGCTATCCTCCCTACTATGCACGTTACTATAAGGGCAAGTTTTGCCCTGGGATACGTACCTATGGCGTGGGGGTACGTAAAATTCGTATTCATACCGAAACCTGGGCGAGATTCACACGCCCAAGTCAAGTTGTCTAACGTCCTTGCTCCTTAAACTAATGGGTAAACCCATCAGTAAACAGTGGCAGATTTGAGGAATTCGTGTCAGTTGTGATGCAGGCAGCTTTAATTAAATTGTCTGTTAAATCCAACAAAAACAAACCTCATTTCTTTCTCACGTAGAAAAAGGCCGACAAAGCTAAAGACATTTCAATGTGCGGCACGAAGCTACTGGTGGTGAGAGTAGGTAAATACTTGGGCATCATATTACACCAAGGGCTTACCTTCAAATCACATCTGGAAAAAATAGCAAACAAAGTCACAAGGTCTCTGTAAACCTGCAGACGAGCGTTGGGGAGCAAGATGGGATCTCCAAAAATGACCCACTGAATGTACACTAAAATGATTATACCATGGGCACACGTATGGACATGCGTCACCGATGTGGTGGAATAAGACCATTACCCAGAAGAACATACAGATACTTTGCAAGGTGTCACGAAGAGCGTGCCTTGGAATTACGGGGGCAATGATAACACTATTATTACTGTTATCCCCACTACACCTAGTAATTAAGGCAGATGCACATATCGGCTGAGAGTCAATGGCGCGGAGAGATCATCAAGGGCGGGGAATTCGTTCATCTTTGATTAAATATTTAAAAATAAAACCCTCAATGTACTGAGAGGGCAATTAAAACAGTTTGTCTTACAAAACTGGAGGAGGAGGAAGTAACGAGGGTTCGTTCTATCAAAAGGGTACACGTATTCTTGAAGGGTAGACAATACTGGAGAGCAGAATAGACCAAAACGTCGCAGTGCAGGAACCGACTGGGACTACGCACAATAATAATAATAATAGCACTCAGTGTAAATGTCTATTTTTGCTTTATTTACAAACATAACCATCGAAATAGAATTATTTACAAAGGTTTAATAAATTACTTTGACTGACTGTTGTAGATGTTTACCAGCCATGATGACCATGGGAATATCCTACATGGGCGACTGGAGCGGCGTGAAAAACTGGTGCGGCATGGACAACTGGAGCGGCATGCACGACGTGAGCGGCCGGTGCGGCATGGACAACATGGGCAGCTGGAGCGGCGTGTGCGACGGCTACGGGGTGAACCGAAACTGAGTTGTGGTTAGCATAGGAGGTGGCGTGATGGGCGACTGGGGCGGCAACGGCAATATGTGCGGGCGCGGCCGCGATGTAACCCCCGTGACCGATGACACCGGCGTTAACGGCGACGAAGAGGGCCAAGAAAGCAAACTGCAAACGTTATCTCAATTACCTACCCCTAAACTCTACGGCCACAACAACTTACCAATTTGAACATTTTTGCTGGGTTTATTTGTTACACTGCTTGTTGAACAGAATTGTGTATGCTGGTGGTAAGAAACGCTCGCGTTTTTATACCAAAGTTTTTCCCCACTGAACTAAGATCAAACGCCCTTTCTATTTACATTGTAAATTATACGGTCAACAAAAGTAGCAATAAAATTCGCGACAGTATTTTTCAACGAAAGTAAATCGCGGCCGCCAATCTTTGCGACAAGATAACCAAGTATATGCAAATCTGGTTTACCCAATTCAGTTTTCCGTTTTTAGGGTTTTTAATCATATAAAATCAATTTAATTTTAATCAAATAAAAACCTAAATCGGATTGAGGTTAAGGTTTTGGCACCGATCGTTTTTATTTATTAAGTTAGAATTATTTACGGTTACTTGTACCTATTTATGTTCATAAATATGTATGTACTAGCAATATTAGACATTGAGGTGTAGGCAGGCAATGCGGCGTATTTACTATTTAAGACCTGCTTTAATGTAATTAACGAGATCAAGATTGATTAGTTTGCTAAAATAATGGAGCACATTTTAAATTGAGATTGTGTGTTTTATTTGGTAACGCAACCCTCTGGGCATTTTCAGACAGCATGTAGCTCGTTTGTAAAATATACTCCTTACCTACTTACAATAAAAAATATAAACTCCTTAGGACCGAATGAAGTTGAAGTTTTTTGGCAAATTTCCACAATTATGCCTATTTCCTCAAATTATAGTTAGAAAAGTCACGAAATGTGCATTTAAGGGTTACAGCAAAATGATTTTCTGAATTATTATCTAGAATGAAGATTGTAACGTGACTTTTCCCAAAACAAATACGCAAGGCCATAGGTTTAATAAGTGAATGAAATAACCTCGCCTAACCCTCTCACGATCCCATTTTGTAAAGGGTTCAGATTCAAAAAATAACTAACCTAAGTTTGCCACTAACGTAAAGGCAAAACAAATTAACGGATTTTTGGTGTGGGTCAATCGACAATAACGAAACACTGAAGTCTGATTGAAGAAATTTCCACCAGTTTCTTTAATAATCGTGACCGATTTGATATATACGTATAGGTAGGTAATAATGAGTTGCCAAAAAGAATTTCTAGCCGTTTTTGAAATCGGGAAGAAAATACACCAGCAGACAAACAAAGCTATCGCTAAAGGTTTATTTTATTTACCTATGTTTAAACTTTAAAGTATGACTAACAAGTTAAAAAGTAATCGTAAACGATTTACATAAAGCGCATTTCCACTTGCATTCATTTCACATTTGTAAGATGCAACTTCTGTTAAAATCGTAAAAATCCGGCCACAAATATGAAAGATAGCGTTGCTCATGGGCAATCCATTGTTGACGTGCAACTTCAATTTCAGTTTATGAGAAGAATTTCATTTCAATGCTTTTCTAAATAAGAAAGTTGGAACTGCGCATGCGCAAACCTAAATTTTAAAACTAATGTTAGCTTTTCCTTTGTTCCAAGCGCCTAAGTATCAAATTTCACTTAAATAGTTCCATAGATAAAAAAGTTGGCACTGCGCATTCGCAAAATAAAATTTTGAAACTAGCGCTAGATTTTCCTTTATTCGAAGTGCTTATGTATCAAATTTCGTTTAAATTCTTCCATAAATAAAAAAGTTGGCACTGCGCATGCGCAAAACCAAATTTTGAAACTGGCGTTTGATTTTCCTTTATCCCAAGTGCCTCTGTATCAAATTTCGTTTAAATTCTTCCATAAATAAAAAAGTTGGCACTGCGCATGCGCAAAACCAAATTTTGAAATTGGCGTTTGATTTTCCTTTATTTCAAGTGCCTATGTATCAAATTTCGTTTAAATTCTTCCATAAATAAAAAAGTTGGCACTGCGCATGCGCAAAACCAAATTTTGAAATTGGCGTTTGATTTTCCTTTAGTGCCTATGTATCAAATTTCATTCAAATACTTTTATAAGTAAAAAAGTTTGCAATTCGGTTTATAAATGGTCGAGATGCGAAAAGGGCACTGTGAATTTTAAATCGATTCGATTCAACTTTTGGCATTGCGTATTATATGGCTAAAGCTATGCCCATATTGAATTTCATGCAATTCAGTTCATAACTAACGGAGATGTAAAAGCGATCGAACATTTCTAAACAAGGTCATCGTTCACACGGACAGATAGATGGACAGACAGACAAAGGAACAGACGGACAGACCAACCGGCAGGCGACAGATAGCAATGCAAAATTATAAACGATCTCTAGGATCGTTAATAAACGGTGTAGTGTAAAATTATGGAACATGTAAAAAACGGTTTTTTGTTTTTTTTACAATAACTTTTTTTGTAAGCGGTGCAGAAAAAATTCCTTCCTTGGTACAAGACTCGACACCATAACGAACCAAATAGCGAAAAAAGTAGAACAATAGCTCTTAAGATAAAAAACTAGTAGCGTCGCAAAATTAGCGGACGGACGGACGGACGGACGGACGGACAAAGTGGCCACAATAGCGCATTTTTTTTTATTTTTGTGGAAATGCGCTAAAAAGAATAATGTTACCTTAGTTACATTGCGTGTAACCAACGTTTCTACAGAAAATATAGAAACAATCGTAGGGAATGTATCAAGATTTCTAGGTTATAAATCTGTCTTTACGGGTGGATTATGGTTGAAAGGGGTGGAAAGTGGTATTTTGCAATTTGTGGCAAAACTATTAGTTTTAGGCGAAAATGTGCAATATACAAGTTATAGGGAATAAAAAAAACAGTTTCCATATAGGAGAATTGGAGGTTATAAAAAAAACAGTGCAGATACAAAAGGGTCCCATTTTCTTATTCTCTATAAGTTTTAAATTAAACATTTTCTCCTAAAATTAATAGTTTTGCCACAAATTGCAAAATACCACTTTCCACCCATTTCAACCCCTGGGATTTCACCCGCGGAAAAATTCAGCTGTTTTAATTATTTTTCCCCAATTTCTAACCATTTCACCTGCATAAAAAACTCGGTTTGGCCCGGTCACTAATTTTTTTTGAAAATAAATTATTTTAAAGCTATTTAGCCTGGACTAATCGTAGAAATTGTAATTTTTCGCCTGAGATTTGTCCAACACATCTAAAGAGTTTTGTAAGATTTCGCAAAAGCTTTTAAGATTTCTAGCAACATTTTAATAATCCTTTATCGGAAAAGTTGCTAATAAAATCTAAGAATATTTTCACAAAATGAAACGATAAGGTTTCTGAAGCTGAAGAAAGGTAGGGGAGAAATCAAATCAGTGGTTTCACACTAAAAAGGACGCGAGATTTGCATGGCTAGAAACAGGAAAGGACGAGTACCATAAAGGGTATCAAGAAATCAGGAAAAAAGTACAAAACTTATACCTAAAGGGAAAAAAAGACAAGTGGATTAGGGACACAATGAAAACATTGGGAAAGGAGCATTTATTATATATGGATGTATTAAAAAAAACAACTCGGATTGGAAATACGCCAGAGATACAGAGCGAGGAATGTTTAAAACACTTGAAAAACCTTCCACACATGGAAAAACGATAAAGGTGACCAAAGTGGTAGGCGGACCAAGTGATTAAAGACATAGCAAGCCTGGGAATTAAAAATGGAAGGAGAAGTTACAGCACCGAAAGACTTGGAGAAAGATAACAGAAGAAGCCTAGGCAAGCAACAAGTTAGGCTGCGAGAAGAAGAGAACGTGGTGTAACTCCCCATATAAAAGGAGTTCCGAGCGTAAATGAGCGGCCGCAATCCCAAATTAAAGACATTAAATTCAAATTATTTATAAAGTGTTGTATCTTTTGCTGGTTAACTTGCTAGTGCAAAAACTTCGCTATTAATTTCGTTGGAAAAACGGCAAAACATATTATTTTGATAGATACATTTTTTATCAATGTTAGTGTACCTAAAACCAACAATTATATATCGAATTATTGAATAAAAACTGACGCTGTCGCAAAATTGAATTTTGTTTAAATTCACTTTTAATTCTTTCTTTAGTATCTCTATAACAGGTTCGTTTATCGGATTATAAGTGGCAGTAACTAAAAACAACCCACACAAAGTAGTGATAAATGATAAATGTGATAATATAGCCACAGAGTACAGAGTACATAATTTAATTTTTGGGGGAAGCTAGCCAGGATAGAGTAAAAAAAACATAGGACCACTTTAAATAGCATCATTTTCGTTAGAGAAGAATTTTTTTTGTTATAAACGTCATGTTTCGCACCCTAGTGGTGATCTTGTGAAACGAAGAATACTTTCCAGCATTTTCTTTTAATAATATTTATATTCCCAACATATACAGGCTGATTTAAATTCGAGGGCCACCATGGGGATTGTGACGAAGAAAACTGGAAGGAAAGAAGTAACCCAGCAATACGGCTCCAACTGCTCTCGGTGGTAGGGGTGGTTCGACGATCCTGAAAGAAATAGCTATAAATGCTCCCGAAATTTAGGCGCCACTAATTTTTCGATAGTTCCACGCCGTACAGGAAAAAAATTAGAAACCTGCTCCTGTTGGTCTGGAAATGCAGGGGTAAAACTATAATAAAGAGAAATAGAGAAATATAGCGGGAAAGAAAAGGTATTTATTCTTCAAGGAAATCAAGAATTTAACACAGATATTGTAGGGCGAATGATGATGATTGATAATGGCACGGGATGATAACAGGGAAATAACAGCAAAAAAAGAAAACGGTACGAGATCTCGTCTCACAGTAAAACAATAAAATTTGACTAAATTACTTATTATGATGTAGGGTGGCTGAATGAATGTGATGGGTTTTTTTTTTTTAATAAACTTAACGGTTTTTTTAAGGTAAATAGATAACTTGAAAACTTGAACTTAGCTGTTCTGGCTCCTGAAGTTGTCCAGCAGTTGTTCGGCGGACTTGGTGGTGGTAGACCAGTGCCTAAATACAGGGCAGATTAAGGATAGGGATGCGGCTAGAAGGGAACAAGGAAAAAGAAATTTGAGGGTATCGAAAGAAGATTGAAGACTGAAGACGACTGAAAATTGAAGACGGACGACTGAAGACTGAAGACGAACGACGACGAAGATTTCTTAGTTGTAGATAGGTACGTATAACAAGTATAGACAAGAAATAACTAAAACTACAAGGCCCTAGAACAAAAACCCAACATTACAAGCTAAAACTATCACAAAAAGGCTACTTACGAGATGGTGTGGGCCTTAACGTAGAGACAATATATAGATAGATATGCTCAATTAAATTGGTGGACGGTGAAATAACGCTCGGATCCTAAGAGACAACGAAGAAATAGAAAAGGATACAGACAACAAAAATACTTACACAAGGGTTGAAATCCGGCGAGCAAGGGTAACATATATATATTGGTTGTAGGTAACTTCACAAACACAAATGCGCTTCCTCTTCCACTCTTAATCCCCAAAATAGGGTTTCCAAGGAAGAAATACCAATTCCTGGTAATGAGTGGAGACTTTATGACGAGGGTAGAAATCCCAAAATTGTCGGATAAAAGCGGCTGCAAAAATTCCGCACCTCACAAGCACACCATACAATTGACAATTGACCAAAACGGAAACGAAAACGTAGAAGATTTTGAAAAAAAACGAACAGTAATACCAATAATTAAGGAACATAAAAAGTTTGCGGGAAAAGAAGAATAGATTTTTGAAAAGAGCGGGAAAGAATAGCGTAGCTTACAAGAACTGACAATAGATGACACTGAAAGCGGACCAGAGGCGTAACATGGAATAAAATAGTACACATAAGCTTCGAAAATTAGAATAGTGAAAACAGTAAGGAAAGAAAAAGCGTTTAAAGCGTGAAAAGGTAAATACAATTGTAAGAAGAGAGCAAGAATCCAAAGAAGCGAAGAAATCGAAAGAAGAAATTTAAGAAAATAGGCACGCCTATGTGATGAAAATCAAAACAAAATAAACAAATTCCTAACCTAAAAATCAAAATAACTAAAGCAAAACTAAACTAAAAATGGACCTGTAACAGGATCTCGGGAACTGTAAGAGATAGGTAGGTAGTTTAAATTTAGCAAAGTTGCGTATTTTGATACTTAACAAACTTCAGTTTTGAAACTGAAAAAATTCCGACTACTTTCGGAGATATCCGGAAAAAACCGAAATTTTTTTTACTGAAGGTTTTAAAAAGATATTTCGGAATAAATGATACATTATTATGGTCACTGTTGTCCTACAAGATGCTAGTTTCAAATTTTAAGTTTGACGTTTTGTCACCAGTCAACCATCATCAACTTCGTTTTTTCTTATGGAAGTAATTTTTACTTTTCTGTCATTTGATAGAGCATTTTTTCCTGATTTCAAAAATGCAAATATCACTATCTTTATAACGAAATAGCGTTCGTAAGAACGCAAGAGACTACGTATGTACACTACCCAAGACAACGTTTTCTAAGCAAAAAACAAGATATTTTAACAATATTAAAAAAATTATGGTATTTACATTTTTGAACTAAAAATTACTTCCATAAGAAAAAACGAAGTTGATGATGGTCAATGATGGAAACGTCGGATTTAACATTGACATTTAAAATACTATTAATAAAAACCTTCTCATTAATTGGAGGTATGTTAATTTTTTGTGTTCGATGGGAAGTGATTTTATGAGGTTCCTGTTTTTAGTAGGGTTTTGGATCTCATTTTTTAATTTTTAGTTCGAGTTTCATTTGTAGCCCCAAGTTCCAATTTTAATTGACCTTGACATCTGTCTAAGCTATATCAATTCAGGGAATGCAGTCCTGAGCACCGAGTCAACAACGTATCCAAGTTAACCTACGCTTAAAGCGAAGGTAACCAAAATTGAGTCAAAGGGTCATTTATTTTATTTCATTAGTAAAGTAATTAAGTGTTGCACGTGCTATGTTATTTTCCATTGCCGAGTGGATCCACTCGAGGTTTTCCACTTTTGATATCAAAGCTAATAATTTGAATATGACTGTTTTGGAGAAAGAGGGGGGAGGTTAGATGTACCAGTTTTCTAAGCACTGTTGAAGGAAAACGGATTAAAGGGGGTAATTCTGAAATTGGAAGAGAAAGCTAGGGAGACAGAAGTGAGATATGAAAACACATAAGAAGTTCATCAAAAGACTGAAAATCAAACAAACGACAAAAGGTCTTTATGGGTATGTGAAGGAAAAGAGACGACTCAAAAGTTCTGCAGACGCTCCGGAGGAGATGAAAAGGAATTAACTGGAAGCGGCAGGCGTGGGGAAGGCTAAAGGAAGGCAGGTGGAACACTTGAAAGGGGCGAGAAGTGCTTATCAAGAAACCTTGAAAGAGGAATTAACAAGCGTTGAAGCTTGGAGGAGGCGAGAAAGTGTAAAGACAACTTGAAGGGTGCTTGAAAGAGTCATAGAAAGGGCTTGACGGGAGCGCCACTAGAAGATGACGTAAGGGATGCTGGAAGAGGGCTTGTAGGAAATGCGAAGGAGGAATTCTATAACGAAAGTGTATTTTCGACATTTATTTACAAAAACAACCATCCAAGTAAATAGAATTGAAAAATAATACATTCAATTTCGATGACAATCTTCTCGTTTCTCAGTTTCTACCATCCATGATGACCGTGACCATGGGCTATTCCAAAGTGAGCAATAGGGGCGGCGTGCACAATTGGAGCTGCGTGGGGAACGGCAATTGGCACCGGGTGTAACGATATGGAGTTGTGGTTGGCGTAGGAAGACGCATCGTGGTGCGCGAAGGCGATGGGAGCCGCATGAGCGATGAAAGCATCGTGTCCAATTGCTCCATGACCGATTAGTCCTGCGTTGACAACGGCGAAGAGGGCCAACAAAGCTACCTACGAGGGAAAACAATTCACATTGCCTACGTTTCAATAATTGTCACAATCAACCCACTCACCAATTTGAACATTTTGCTAAGGCTGCTGATATTGCACTCAACGTACGGAGAACAAGATGTGATTATGCTTCGAAATTAGATATCGCGAGTTTATATACTGAAGTTTGTACCCCACTGCACCCTTACAACTGGAGCACGTGCCCTTTCTATAAGGTGCTACAAAAGTAGTGTTCACGGTCTATTTCGTATTGTTTTACAACAGTTCAGTTTGCGATATTCTACCAAATGTATCTTTAATCATTGAAAGTGAAAAGGAAACGTAACTTTATACATTACGTGAGTAATAATTATGAATAATTGATTTAATTTTATTATCAATTTACGCAACTGCATTTTGTTTTGAACTCATATGGATTCTTTCCTGCTACCGTATAGGGAAATTTGCATACCAATCAAGCTGTAATTCTATTGCTCTGAAAAGAAAAGGTGCAATAACCTGGTAGGTTTTAAATAGTAGTGACTTATTGCTTTATGTAATTGGTTCAGTGGTTAATTAGCGAGCGAGGGTGGTGTTAAACGCTATTAACAGGAACTTGTCCGATACCTAATGATAGGTTGTAACGCATGAGAGAACGTTTATAGCATATTGGCTATTTTAAGTTAATCATGCAGAAAATAATGTTAATGCAAATACATACATGAATAGCTCTTACTGATAGTATACAGGGAGACTCCAATTTGTTAAACAATAGGACGCTACCCTCATCCAATTTTAACGGAGATACATCTTTCGAAGTCCTTAAGACATTATTGGTTGCTGAAGGTAAAGCTAGTGTCAAAAATGATATATTAGAAAGAATTCATAACAAATTAATCAACATTTAAAATGCCGGAAAAATTGCTCTACAAAGTTACTTACGATGATATGGGAGTTATTATTATAGTAAATCTAAATCTTTTGAGAAGTCTGATCGAAAAAGTACGAATTGATTTGGATTCTACGCACCCAAATTAATAAGAAAAAGTGTTTTCCCGAGAAATTTTGGTGTAGTCGATTTTTGGTAAAAAAGGAAGGTTATACACTGCCTTTTTTTGAGCCCCGAAAAAAAAATTGTCTCAGATCGACCCGGAAAAAAATTTTCTTATAGAATGTGGCCTGTAGAATCCATAATTTCAAACAGTTCCAAGATTGGGCTACTAGTTCAAAAGTTACAGCCCTTTGAATTTTCTTTCGAAATTGGTTTCTAGTCTATAACTTTTGATTGAGAAGTCTGATCGAAAAAGTACGAATTGTTTTGGATTCTACGCACCAAAATTAATAAGAAAAAGTGTTTTCCCGAGAAATTTTGGTGTAGTCGATTTTTGGTAAAAAAGGAAGGTTATACACTGCCTTTTTTTGAGCCCCGAAAAAAAAATTGTCTCAGATCGACCCGGAAAAAAATTTTCTTATAGAATGTGGCCTGTAGAATCCATAATTTCAAACAGTTCCAAGATTGGGCTACTAGTTCAAAAGTTACAGCCCTTTGAATTTTTTTTCGAAATTGGTTTCTAGTCTATAACCTTTGATTGAGAAGTCTGATCGAAAAAGTACGAATTGATTTGGATTCTACGCACCCAAGTTAATAAGAAAAAGTGTTTTCCCGAGAAATTTGGGTGTAGTCGATTTTTGGTAAAAAAGGAAGGTTAAACACTGCCTTTTTTTGAGCCCCGAAAAAAAAATTGTCTCAGATCGACCAGGAAAAAAAATGTTCTTATAGAAAATTTTCTTATAAAATGTGGCCTGTAGAATCCATAATTTCAAACAGTTCCAAGATTGGCTCGAAGATTGGGCTACTAGTTCAAAAGTTACAGCCCTTTGAATTTTTTTTCGAAATTGGTTTCTAGCCTATAACTTTTGATTGAGAAGTCCGATCGAAAAAGTACGAATTGATTGGGATTCTACGCACGCAAAGTAATAAGAAAAAGTGTTTTCCCGAGAAATTTTGGTGTAGTCGATTTTTGGTAAAAAAAGGAAGGTTAAACACTGCCTTTTTTTGAGCCCCGAAAAAAAAATTTTCTCAGATCGACCCGGAAAAAATTTTCTTATAAAATGTGGCCTGTAGAATCCATATTTTCAAACAGTTCCAAGATTGGGCTACTAGTTCAAAAGTTACAGCCCTTTGAATTTTTTTTCGAAATTGGTTTCTAGTCTATAACTTTTGATTGAGAAGTCTGATCGAAAAAGTACGAATTGTTTTGGATTCTACGCACCAAAATTAATAAGAAAAAGTGTTTTCCCGAGAAATTTTGGTGTAGTCGATTTTTGGTAAAAAAGGAAGGTTAATACACTGCCTTTTTTTGAGCCCCGAAAAAAAAATTGTCTCAGATCGACCCGGAAAAAAATTTTTTATAGAATGTGGCCTGTAGAATCCTGTAGAAGTCTGATCGAAAAAGTAGGAATTGATTTGGATTCTACGCACCCAAATTAATAAGAAAAAGTGAATCTTTAGAATCTAAAAGCAATCCCGAATCGGAAGGGGGGGGGGGGCTTATGAATAAACGCAGAATTGATTTGTTTGATTTGAATTTGTTATCTTGGTATCTATTTTGTCTGTGATTCCATAGTTTTTGTTTTAATTATATCGTTTGTGTATTTATGCTAGCAAAGCAAATAATTTCGTACTCATAAATTGGTAAGATCGGACAATTATTTATTAAAGAAAAAACCTAGCATTCATACACGCACTATGACATTCTATTTCCTTATTTTAACACAGTTATTGACCAAATGTTGTTTTTCCCTCAATGAATATTTCATTTCTGTGATATAAGTTTGTGATCTGTGTACAAGTAGTGTTATATACATTTATATGTTAAATAGCAATTTTCTGTATTGTATGTTTTATGCTAGATGTTAGACGCATTCCATACTGTAACAAGTCGACGGAATAAAGAGTATTATTATTATTAAAAGAGAAATTCAGGAATGGCTTTAAGCTTTCACACTAATCGATACAGGAGCATGATAGTTCGAATATAATGCCGAAAACCCGAAAGTTCTACGGTATTGCGTTGTCCAGATCTCGATCGCTTTATAACACGGCGCCCGAACAGCCGACAGTTTTAGAAAAACGATAAGCTCCTTTTTGAGAACTAAAAATGCGCAAAAAAATTAAACACACAACACACAACAAGGGCAAAAGAATCTGAAAAATTCAAAGAAAAAAACGTGACGAATACGAACAATTTTCATCCCAAGTAGTCGAAAGGTCTGAAAAATCTAAAGGACTCAAAGAATCGTAAAAATCGGAATTTGATGATACGGAAGAATTCACAGAATTTTAAGAATCCGAGGGAGCTGATCAAAAAAATCTAAAGGGCCAAAATATGCGACTAATGAGAAGAGCCTAATAAATTCGAGTGATACTCCTGCTGATATAATGAAAAATAGGGGGTAGCTCCAAAGTTAATGGAAATTTTGCAGGTCGTTTGGAGGTACACCAGGACGTATATCCTAAGTTTTCGACCACGAGGACTGTGTGCTAACTTAGGAGATATTGCATGCTGTACCCACGGTCTTCCAGGTCGGATACTTAGGAAAGACATCCTGAGTGACCCCAAAATAACCTGAAAAAATTACTTTCAGTTTGGGTATACTTTCCAGATAAAAAGTGGACATCGGATGGGCTATATAATGAATAATGAATTTTAACGAAATTTTTACATGAATCAATTATCTACAATCGCCATCATCACTCAATATACTCGTAATCGATTCTGAGAAAGACTTTGAGCTGAAGATTTCTAGAGAAATTTTAGTAGGCACGCTTAATAAACACTTTATGAAGTAGAGGTAGGAACGAACGCCATTGCCGATTAACTTAAGGTATAGAAAAATCTGGAAGAGAGGGGAAATATGGCTATCGAGGAATTTAGAGCAGAGGAGATGGTACGTTTCAAACTTTTCAAACTCTTTAATACATTCCTTCACATCTTTTCTTTAATTATCTAAAATTGTTCAAATTCTTCTCATTTTTAAAAGCTTTCGGAACCATGTCCATCACGTCCCTTTGATGATTTGAATTTTTTAACTTAGTCACGATTTTTTGGATTCTCCAGTCTTTAAATTCATCGAATTGTTCCACTTCATTGAAGTAAGGGTTCTCCTCTGTCTAAGCGCTAAAGGGCAGGGAATGATCTAAGTACTGAAGGTGTTCATTTTTCTATCAATTAAAACAAATTTAAAACCAAAAATCAATTAAAGCTATACTGATATGTGTGTATTTCGACTTGTAATTAAGACAGTAGATAGCATGTAGTTGCTAATTGCTCAAATTTCGTAACTGGAGCACCGTCACCAAAGACCACTTCCATACATTCGACTAATTATAATTATTATTAAATCGACCGGACGCGTTTTCTTTTCTCTTTTTTTGAAAATACGATTTTGTTGTACGTTAAAGTTTGGCCTTGTAATTATTATGATTGGCATTAAATATTTCATTTCAATAAAATCGTTAATTGCATCTGTAAATTATTGTGTACAACGGTGAATAGAACTTCATTAGGCACGATAAAGATGTCCCTGAATTGTAAAAACAATAACATTGCGTAATGAACCTTGTCAGATTTAATTTATTGAGTGGATACCTATTATTACAACCGCGAATTAATGAAAGTGAAATGGTCGGTCACGGTTCCTTGATCTTCGAATATTTTATTGAATACGATGCGGAACGTTATACAAATATACACGTTTAATAGGAATCTATATTCTGGATTTCCTGTTTAATTTGCGGTTTTGGACATGCGCTTTAGTACGTTTTTTATGATCTGCTCTGAGGATCTAGGTATATGTCAATGAAAAAGCATCAAAGTTTTTGTTCTTGGTGAATTCCTGAAGAAATGCTACCGATAAAGATACTGAACGATATTACAGGGCAACTAAAGTTGCAAAAAAAGTATTGAACGTGGTTATTTGTGCCTTTGGTTTACCATTTTATCAATTTTCTATTGCTTCCGTAATTCGATTGGTGAAAACTGTCTACCATTTGGAAATATGGAGTCAGTAATTTTGAGAAGATGACTCTCTATTGAAGAATCCTGCAGTTCTTGAATTCCAGCCAAGAACCAAGGAACCCAACTGAATCTGCAGAAGATTCACTGCAGCTCAAGGACCATAAAACATTCCGCACTACACTTTACCATATAAACTTCAATTAAACCCAGCAACCTCTTATGAGAAACTCATCATTCAGTT